ACCATGCCCAGCCTTTATTTTTTGAGAGTCTGACTCTGTCGCCCAGGCTGGAGTATAGTGGCACAATCTCAGCTAACTGCAACCTCCACCTCCCAAGTTCAAGTGATTCTCATGCCTCAGCCTCCTGAGTAGCTGGGATTACAGGCACACGCTCCCATGCCCAGCTAATTTTTTTTGTATTTTTAATAGAGATGGGGGTTTCACCATGTTGGCAAGGCTGGTCTTGAAATTCTGACTTCAGGTGATCTGCCCGCCTTGGCCTCCCAAAGTGTTGGGATTACAGGCATGAGCCACCGTGCCCAGCTTTTATTGGTAATATTAAAAGCAATTCACATTTACGGTTTGTTTGACATGTCCCAGGTCACTGTGCTAAATCTTTAACATATATTCTTATATTTTATCCTCACATAACCCTGTGAGGTGTCAATACTGTTTCTGTGCCCTTGGGATGCATCATTGTACAAAACAAGTTCCACAAAGGCTACAGATCTCTAGATTCTGATATTAATATTTCTATACCATTCTGTTGTTAGTATTCTCTGGTTACTCTTGAAATTGAGCACCTTTTCATATGTTTTAGCCATTTAGTTTTGTGTGTGTCTTTTGTGAAATCACTGACTTTTAGTCTTGCCCATTTTCTATTTGGTTGTCTGTCTTTTTATTATTAATTTGGAGGAATCCTATATGTATATTTGAATATGTGCCATTAGCTATGTGTTGCAGATGACTCGTGTCATGTGTTTCAGATTCAAGCTGAGGTATTAAGAGCAGGTAGGATTTGGGTAGGCAAAGATGAGTGTTTCTAGTGAGATGAAAGAATAAACAAAATTGTAAGGAAAGAAGATATAATTCACATATGAAATAGTTGAATAGTTTGATTGGACTAAGACCAGAAAGCTCAAAATGTATAACACCAGGGAAACCCTAGAAAATGACAAAAATATACCTCAGCAGAACATTTTCTTTAAATCAGTACATCTTCTGTTCAGGAATAACCTGTTTCAGGCAGACTAGACAACCTGAAAGGAACCCTAAAGATCGTTTGCCTCTCTGGTAGGTAGCTCTAGGCTTTCACTCCCCTGCCAGGGAATGAATCTTCTATTACTGAAATGGCCTTGATGTCATTGCCTGGTGAAAAGGTGTGACTTAAAGCTGGAACTGATGGGGAGAGAAGCCTAGAGGAAAGTCCTTCATCTTGTCCTCTGGCTCTAGATTTCTCAGAGTTTTTGCATATTAAAGTTAGATCACCTTCATGAGGCTGCCCTTGGTAACCTGATGTTTCTCATTATAAAGTCATTCCTTGAAG